GGAGACTAAAAACAAGATGCCTGCCAGTCGACTATCTTTGATCCAATTGCGAATTAAATCGTCATGGACATGTATTCTAACATGTATAATCTATGTACCAAGTTTGAATGACAACTGACAAAGTATGTCCAAAATACAACATTTTCAAAAAACAAGATGGCTGCCAGTCGGCCATTTTGAATCGAATCGCTAAACCACAGCATGTGCATATGTCCCAAATAAGGTACAAGACAAATGCAAAGAATGAACGGAATCGGTCAAAGGGATTCTGAGATATGACTCTGGACGGACGCACGGACAGAGACCGAATTACAAGTCCTCGTTTTCGGACTTTCGAACAGTTGCAAATCAGTGCAAACATTCATTTCTACTTATTTCATCCAGTTAATAAAGACACCTTTTAAGAGCTTCTTCATGCTGTAACATGGTAGAACTAGCATTAGGTCTTCCTAATTTAGGTGAGGAATTTGGTGCTACTGGTCCTTCATGATATTCTTCTGCTTGTGCAATGTAATCATTCTCCTCTTGTACTGATCCAGCCATCTATCACAAAAACACAATGGAGTGCAAACAATATTTAGAATTGAAATACAAGTATTATTAAAGAGTGGTTCACCAAGTATTGTAGCATTATAGACTGTAGTATACTAGTACTATAATGAAAGCTTTCTGTATTGTCAACTAGAAATGTACGATAAACCACTTCACAGAACACTGTAGGACTTACAAAATACCTATTTACCAAACTTGCATGTTCTATGCTTACAATACATCTTTACTGTAGCACATTCCAGGACACCCAGGTTTGTGTAGCTGAAAACACAACATAATCTTACCTCAGTCTGGGATCCTTCCATGCTGACCAAGCCCAAGCCCATATTGTCAGATGCTTGATAACCATTCTGTACAGTGCTGTTTGCTTTACGGACAGTACTTGTAGAACTTCCTGAGACATGTGCAACCGCTTTGCCTTTAACTGGATGCAGCTCACCTATGAAATATATATATACCAGTAATATTGAATTCCCAATAAACATTCGAAACTGTATTTACAATATTCAGAATGTTTATAACATACAGGTAGATTGTTATAAAACATTGACCAAAGATGACATAATGAAATATGAATCCTATTCCTGCCAGTATAAATTTTTTTTTATTAATCATGCATAAACTTCAATTCATTTCTCAAGGATTTCATTTCATGCACCAAATAAAGTAAATCATTTATACCACTGTGCTCAAACTGCTCATCCACTTTCTCCAATTTGGTTTCATATTGTGCTTTCAATTTGTCAATATCGTCTTGAAGTTTGGCTTTATTCATCTGTTCCTCTTCAAATTTATTTTTCATCTCTGATAACTTATCTTCGTACTCCTGTAAATTACAAGACATTATATTTATATAGTGACACACAATTTACAACTCAAAATTCAATTATTGTAATGCAAAATATTCATCAATATAATAACCTTTTGAAGGTGTCCCACAATGGATTTTCATCAAATGACTCAATAAATGAAATTTGACACTATTTTTTAAAATAAAATCCAACTTGGTTGGAGCTGTAGCATACAACTTGTACAAACATTGATGAAAAGAACCAAGCAACAATTAAGAACTCTACCTGGCGAATTTTTTCTTTTTCTTTCTCCATTTCCTCTCTTTGTTCTTCTGGACGTTGAATTAATCCAGTTTTGGGGCCTGCTAGCATTTTGATTTGTCCCTCTGTTGATGTTTATGAAGTTATAGCAACACCAATAATTTTGCGTACATATAAGTTTTATTGCTACATGCATACATGCACATTTTTAACCCCAGTCTGTACATAACAGCATGCATTAAACACCAATTTTAACATACAGGAAACAATTTCTTACAAACAAATATTTTTTTTAGTTTTAATGAACATAAACACAAGATATAAAAACTTTGATTCACATATCTCCATTTTTTTAACCAAAATGCTGCAACAGCCGCAATAGAATTAGCAAATACCAGCGTCAAAAGTTCATTCTGTCAACAGTGGGAATATAGGACTAAACGTGTACTGTATTTGCTCTAAGTAGTAGCACATAAATCATGCAGAGATAATTAATTACAGAGATTTTTCTACGGCAAAATAATTATTAATTTACTGATTCAGTATACAAAATATGTTTTCAGTATATATGTGCTTCTAATGGAGGAAATACGGTATACACTATTACTTCTAATATGTAAACAGTGTGATAATGTGTCATCCTTTCTGCAATGATGGTTAAACAAGCTATATATAGCTTGGAGCATGGATGCAACACCTATAGAAACCAGGAAAACATAACTGCCTACAATATAATATACTTTACACATGTATGTACATGTGACAGTTTTGTACATTGAGACTCTCATCAGACCTAGCATTGATTGAATGTTGTCAAGAGCACTGGCTCAAATCAAATATATATACCGTAATACACAGATGTTATAAAGCCATCAAATATTTTTATTTTTGTTTTGCATTGGACCTTCTACGTTATCAATGATATCTACCCCTGGTGAAAAGAACACATTTGTTTGTTTCATTAGTTGATCTTCTGTAATCAGTGACGTACCACGTACCAGCATTTAAAGATGTTGTGCATGATGTAATGTTGCAAGTGAGGGAGAGGTTTATTCCTACCAAATTAACCCACTGATAAAAGGTAATATCCTTGTTGACATCAAGAACTTTTGACTGAAGGCACTCTCAGTTAAAATCCACAAAGCAGCCAAACTTTTCCCACAAAGTCATAACTATGTTCTCATCCTATACATTAGGATTACAATACAGAAGCAGATATTAACCACTGCACAGATAACATATGCTCTGAACCCTGGGAAAAAGACTGAACACTTTGTAGAATCCAACATATTACAGAACACAGCACAAAGCATATGGTTAGTATAACAAGCGTGCAGCAATGGATGTGATTATAACAGTGAAAGAACAACACGCTCATGAATTGTGTAGCAATTCATTGGATAGTGTGTGTTAATTATATATTAGTGCAGCACCACAACCACTCTGATCGCACTTACCAGCTGTACCCTCACTATCATCTTTAATAAAAAGACAGAAACGTTTGACAGTCAATGATAATTATAGTGAAGGACAGAAGATTATCATCGTTGATACAACAAACAACACAAATACAACAAACACACCACTCTAAAACCAAATACTAACTGTGTAATACAAACCAGTGAAACCAACACAAACTAATCTAACCAACCAACACACACAAATACACCACAATTTACATACTGTATTAATATTTCCATATATTAACAACAATCGACACACAAATTTAACACAGACGCCAACAGCCAACAATATTGTTTTGGTACAATTTAGCACTACGGTAGTTGCATTACTAGCTGCATTAGCAATCTAATTTTCATTTTGCAGTTCAATGCTACTTGGTGCAGAATTAGACATTAATTACTTATTTTGTTGAGACCTTACTGCTATACTTTCTAACTCAATGTTGTGTGAATAAAAATATTATTTTTAAAAATGCACCAATTTTATTGATCAAACCAATTTGTGTGTATATTTCAAGCTTTGAGTGACCATCTTTTACGTCATCACTTTATTATCACTACATCATTACATGCATGATCACAACGTTTGGTTAGCATCAAAGATGAAAAAAATTGTAGATTTGTAGAATTTTGGTAACATGAAGTTGTTAATGTGTTACTTGAAAAATTGTCATACATATATTTTGAAGGATATCCATTAAATATAACTGAAACTGGCAATGAATTTATAAATTGTATTTTTATATTTTTACTTACACAGAAACATTAGAAAAATCACAATTTTGAAATGCCATCCATAAATATATGCGCCACACACTTTTCTAGACAAAGTAATGTCTACAGATGTTGCACCCTCAATGCTCAATAAATTTGCAAAATTAACTTTCTTTGCAAGAAAACAAGGTAGTCAGGCCAGTCAGGCACCTTCACTTTATTAATTTCTGTATGTAAATTATATAGTTTTGTAATATTATAATATAGAGGCTGTTCTTTGTCACGGCTAATGGCTTAAATTAAACATTATTAAAAATTAATTTCTAAACTAAAGTTTCTAATTTATTTTAAACCGTACAGATAGTGGTATCGGAAAGATGTGATTTCAAAGAGAGTATAAGGATGAATCATAAGTCAAAACTTGGAGAGAAAAAAACATAGTCTTTCTGATTATAAATATTAGTATGCAAAATATGAATTATTAGAACTATTATTCATTTGTCTATTAAGGTGTAAGTAATCACTCTATTAAATAATATAAAGCAAAAGAAAAAAGATTTTTTCGAAAGTTGGCCATAACAATGAACAGCACCAAGATAACAACTGATTAGTACAGTGATACTTAAGAAAACATGTATCATTTATCAACATAAAACATAACAACCCCGTTACAGAAACAAAACATGCTGAAAAGAAATTTATGCAAGGATGCAATAAAGTTGATATCAAAATGCACCAAAAACTTGATAGTGTAGTGGGTGTGTGAACTATGCGAGTTGCGCCCTCTAGTGTTAATAGTACTGTGATGGTTGACGAGTGGGAGCAATGCTGTTTAGGCCGATGCATAGTCATTTGATATTTAGAAATTGCAAATCACTTTTTTAATAACTACTATAATGGTTGCTGTGAACTGGCTTTTTTTTGCAAATCTATATCACAGAGGTGCTTTGTCACTAGCGGGCACAACTAACAGGACCGGTGGGGTGTTGCAGATATATATCAGGATAACATTGTACCGTATTTCATGCTCAGACGGTGTCTAGAAGAAACTAGACAGCTAGCATGTAATATGTGCAATAAACTTACGTGTGAAGCCGCCTTCTGGCATGGGTATTTGACCCATCAACATAGCACGTAAAGTTTTAATTTCTTCTTGATATTGTCGTAGTAAAGCATCTTTAGGATCTTCATTAATTCTTGGTTTGTTTTTGATGTTTTTAGCTCTGTTTGCATACCGCAATGTACTAAGTGTTTCATCATAGTTGTTATCCGCGGGTGATAGACAAGCCACCATCAAGGTCTTAGTGTTTCCACCTAAAAATGTAGAGAAAAAAAGCAAAATACTCACTTTCTCAGGTCATCACATCATGTTTATAATTATTATTGAGGTTCATAGAAGCATAATAAATAAATATAATTCATGACTTACCTAATGAATCCTGTAATAGACGTGTAAGTTTAGAATCTCTGTATGGAATGTGTTTTGATTTGCCATCAACCAAAGCTGAAATTACGTTACCCAAGGCAGACAGGGATAAATTGATCTTTGTTGCCTCCTTTAATCGATCACCAGTGGAACCTAACAGAGAAAAATAACATTAGCAGTGTCATGATTAATGAAAATCTTACAAGTAGACAACAATGTATCTGTAGAATTCCATTGCTTAATTGGCGATTCTCTGTTAATTGTGAGATTTCACATCTAAAGTAAAACTCAAGTGATTTAATTTATATTTTTATATTTCAATGTCAAAATGTATATTGCATTGAGAAATCTTTAATTCATCAAAATTTACAATCATCAAATGTGTATAGCACATTATTAATGAATTTACCGGTTTTAGCTTGTCTTTCACTACCAGCCAAATCAACTAAGTTGAGTTTGCCAGCTCGTATATGATCTTCGCCTTCACCGTCTGTTTCACACATTTCTAAATGTATAGTGAAGATAGAATGTGATCTTGAAGAATCTGCATTCATGAGAGTGGCTCCGGTAGCACGGTTACTCCAACCAGTCCCCATTATACGTTCACATTCTGATACATTATGTACTCCATGCATTGATAAATCTGTTGGAAAGTTTAAAAAGAAAGAAAGGAAGAGCTACATGAAAATGATTCTTTAGCAAGGTTGTCTTTTTTTTATTCACATATTAAACAAACTCATAGACATCACTCAGGCTACATTGTAGCAGGTGCTTTTACATAAAAGTAGCGAATACATATCTTGCTTGTAAATTGGCTAAATTTCTCACAGAAATAAGGATGATTATTACTGGGATGTAGAGAATCAAAGTCAAATATAATTTGATTTCACAACATTATAGCAAAACAGAAAAAGAAAACAGATCTGGTCAATAAATCATATTTGTTGACTTTCATAGCCTAAACTGAAATGCAACATTTTCTTTAAGGCTCTTTAAGGTATCAATAAAACATCTATTTTAATTGTTCTATGTATTGTTTATTTCAGAAACCAATGAATCTAACACATACATTTTGTAGTGAATATCCATGCAAAATAACAACAAGAATGAATTGTAGCTTGATTTTAACCTTGAATTCTCCTATACCAAAGTGTTTTGTCCTCAGAACTAGGTCACTTAAAGTACAACTCACATAAATGACAAAGTATTTGCATGGCAATTAATTTCCTGCAGTAATAATACAATGTTGACACGCATGTTATGGCTCTACAAAGTCTAGTTCTGACAAGCCATTAAAAATATCACAATACCTACTATACAATGGAGGCTGTAATGAATAATTTTTACAATATGGTTTGGTTGGTTGAAATGAATGTATTTCAAAACAATCATACTCAAGGGTTACTTTGTAAGAAAGTAGCCTTGCCACTAACTAACTACCGTAATGTACACATGTATATTGACACTAACAGAGCAAAGTTTACATATACTATTTTCAAATTTGCGTCTACAAACAGAGATGTGTTATTAATGTATTAGAAAATAGCATAAAATCTCCCTTCAATAATGTTGTGTCTAGTTAGGTGACTATCTGGAAAGTAGATATCAGCTACACAGGACACCTTTTTAAATTTGTGTTCACAGCTCTGCTATATCTCTTTACATACAAAAGCCGTAGCTTGTAATAGCCAATCAGAATGATGTATTCAGTCACGTGACATCAATCATACATACATATATTGTACTTATACACTTCCTGGCAAATGATAAGCCTTACCTTTGACATAAACACCTTTTTCTGGATGTTCTTTCAATTCTAATTTCTTTTTGGTGTCTTTGGCTAATAGATCCCTGATTTCTTCATTGTAAATTTCCAAATATGAAGCATGTACTAAATACTTCATGCTATCTGAGGCTCCAATATTTTCAAAGATGTGTTCAAAAGCTCGGGGAATAATACCCCTTTGAGTTGGAGGATCTAATATACCCTGCATACTAAACGATTTCCCACAACCGGTCTGACCATATGCAAATACAGTTCCATTGTAACCTTCCAATACACCCTAATAAGAGAAAGGAAGAAATTTATTGAGAATCATTGCATGAAAATCATAGATTTTTTAACGGTCAGTGGATGCAGCTAACACACATTTCAAACAGGAATTTCCATCAATTAAACTGAAGGGCTATTCGAAAGTTTGGTTAAATAAATTTAGTTTTCTAGTTTTTGAAACTCAGTTGTATTTTGTCAATTTTCAATTCAAAATGGCCGCCAGGGTTGGGTTTTAACACTATCTCCTCTTTTCATTTGCTTTTTGATATCAACTTTAAACTGCACAAAATATCAAGAATTTGTAGTGCTTCATTTTTACTAGTTATCCATGTTGAAGATTATGTGCAGAAATAATACATTTGTTTGGCTACAGAGAACTCATTTGGGTTAAAAATTAAGTGGATTAAAAACTAATTGGTGGATATACATTAATTCAAACTATCATTTGACCAAATGCATACAAAATTTCTGTTAGGGTCTCATAGGATTGATAAAAAATCACAACTTGTATTGCAGATCATTCTCCAATGAGTGACTTCTATTTAAAATACCGGTAGGTCAGAGGAGAACTACCTGAAAGCGATTATCATACATGTAGTTGTTTGCTTAGATGAAATTGAAGGTGATATATATTAGCTAGCAGTCTCAATAGAAAGCAAACAGAGTCTCTACCTATCTGATTTTGATATACAATAGTATAATTTTTTTCACTCAGATTCCATAAATTAATGTCTGAAATGAGGAAAATGAATATTATTTCTGAAAAACAACTGTACTCATAAACAACATGAATATAAATATTCATTTTCAAATTAATTTTAATAAAATTTATTAAAACCCTGTGAAAAGTCAGCTGTAATTACACACTCTAAAGTACACTGGCAGGCATACAGAAATAATGACGATAGTCGTGCTAAAATTCAATTATTAATGGAGAAGCATCAAGGCCAGAGATGGTTGATTTGATGATGAATCCATGGTTCACTGCTCACTCAGAGTGTAACTTGTCAGAAAATCAGACAGTCTGAGAAGATATCAATCTTGTCGCCCTGTAAAAATACAGTTTATTGTGTCTGCTCGCTTAAAATAAGAATGCAACATCTTAGCTGCCCATTCAACAGTGAAATATTGTATTTTCTGCACACTTTGAAAACACGTGCCTTATTAGATTGCCACCCTATACAGGAATGTATGAAACTAGCATTAGTACATTGTATATGTGTACAGCACCTATTTTGGGACTACCAAGCAATACAACCACTGCATTGCTGAAAAGGTTATTACTATGGTAACTATAAAATGCACTGCTGATCATTGGATCAGAGTGTTCACATGGATCCCAGTAATTATTTGTTAGCCAGGCAATGCTTAAGGTCAATCCACAAGATGAACCTGAACAGATGCACAAAATTGCATGCCATTCAACAATATTCAATGTTTTCCCACCATGATTCTGCTGCTTTAAGGAATTCATTGAGAAAAATTGCCTTACAAACACATTTTCACATATCATTTTCCAATTTGTTCATCTTGACAAATATTCACATATATCCTATACAAGTTTGGTATCATGCAATAATGGGAAGTGCATTGGCATTATTCACTAAATAGTAAATTAATATATGAATTGGCCTAACATTCATCCCCAATAAATAATGGCTTGTGAAAGAAACGATATTGGTGGGAATGCACCAATACAAATAAAAGCATTGTTGAATTTTAAAAAAAGGGGTTGTACAATATACACCATACATACATATAAATGACCAGTTCCTATTGTTGTACACTTTTGTCTTTGCATTCAATCTTATTCATTTACATTTTTCTATTTCTCCAAATTATAATGAATATAGAGCAAAGGTTTCAAATAAAAAGTTTGGTGCAGTGTGAGAATGCAAGGCTGTATAGTAGTCATGACTTTGAATGGCCATCAAACTGTATTACTTAGTATTCTAATCTGATATCGTTTTTTGCACAGCCACCTACATCCAACATGATTCCTTTCCTAAAAAAAGTCTAAATCAACTGAAATTGAACGAATAAACTGTTCATATGTGATAACATTGTAGTTGTTGATTTATGATATTCAAAATCCAAAGCAGAAAATAATTATTTTGAAAGAAAATGTAACTCTAATCATGTCTATAAAGACAATTATTAGTGAAATAACTGAGTGTGGTAATTACATGAATATAATTAAAAGAATCAAAGGAAACACTGAACAGCTCTAGTACTTGGCTTAGAGTTGTAGCACAACTATGCTATAGTTTTGACACACAACAAGGTGCTATTATAGGGCTTGAACTTCAGAGTTGAGAGAGCACCCCTTTTCAAGGCAATATTTGATAAAATTTCCTTGGCGTATCCTCGGGGGCGGAGCTACGTCACAAGACGTTCCACGTTGCTAAGACGCGCACCACTGTACATGTATTTCTATGGGCTCTTTTCGCGCTGTTGTGGAACGCCGGTCGAGCCGGTGAAAATTCGAGAAAACAACACAAACTCAACTTTGAAGTAATCCTGAACAACCAAATTTATATATGTTACACACGTAGGGCTAATCTTGTTACACTGTTCAGGGGAGTCTCAACAACCATCCCAAAGTATCGTTTTCTGCGAGTTTTTTGCCTTTGTTTTCACTGCCAGGGTTGCCAAGCGCTGAAAATGCCCAGATGTCCGCCCCCGAGGATAGGAATAGTACATGCAGACGGAAAATCTGTATTTTTCGAAGGACACCGAGACTCCTTAGGCATCAAGGCAACAGACCACTTTCATGAGCCCTAAAAGTCACACATCCTTAGTACTTTTGTTGGTATGACAGCATAACATACACAATTGGTGCATTTTGATGTATCTTGTTGTTTCTAACAGAAACATTTTACACAAGTAGCTAAAACAAATAGTCAAGTCTAGAAAATTGTGCTGAGATAACAATAAAATAAATTAAATTTTGATATTCATACCAACGAAAGTACCAGGATGTACCAAGAGGACATGAAAGTGATTCCTCAGTGAAGTTCAATTAACACAATAGAAGTAATTAATTTTAGTTTTATGCAAATCAGAAATATTACAATACATGTCCAAACATGGTGGATAACATATCAATGTAAAATTGGTCATATCATAGCAATACAATATAATTAGCATACAATCCAGTCAGTGACAACTATTGCATTCATGCATGGCACTGTGCTTGAAATGTGCGAGAGAGAACATTGTATGACAACAATTATGATTGCCCAAGATACAGTTGAATGCAATTGAGTTCCAGGTATCCTAATAATAAAAGTTTGATTCACTTGTGTTTACATTTACATGTCACAATCTATACCTACATTTGTATGACCAGGTGAGTTTGCACACATCACTTCCTGAACGTAAATGTCACAAATAAATAATCTCAAAAGTTGCAGCTTTGTATCCAACACTACAGTACATGTACCGGTAGTTAAAACTGGGATATAATGAATACTAGTACATCCCTAGCTAAAAGTATAATAACATATTAAATTACTTACATCAACCAAAGGGTAGGCAATATCATTATAGATAGTCTCTGTAGTGGAATCTACATAATAAGCGCCATCAAATGTAAACATCTTGGGTGGATCATGTGATTTTGGTTTGATTAGTGAACATGATCCTTTGCTACTATCCATTTTCACAACCGTGGAGCATTTTAGATTGTTCTCTCTCTCGTTGAGAGGCCGACAGCGAACGATCACTTTTACTGCCTCGGCCGACATCCTGTAAATTAAAAATGTAATACAGTGTCAGTCACACGCACGTATAATATTTATATTAATATTTTAGTCTTATAATGTAAAAAGGTATTATAAACAACATAAATGTTCATACAGAGGTCAAAGGTTATGTCAGTGTGAAGGTAGGTTTCG